AGTAATGACATAATATTATCCTCTGACGAGGATTTCTCCACAGACTTAGGGTTTTTGGAAGCCGACTTCCCTTTACCCTTCCTGCCATCACTCACGTGTTCAGGTCCATTTTTAGTAATGGTACTACATGTAGTTTCGTCCGCCATGACACCACGTGTTCAGAAGCAGACGACGAAACCTGACTGAAATTGCGCCAAATACCGTTGCAAATGGCAAGACCACTGTCTATAACGATATAGCATGCACCACGTGCACAATAAAAATCACCCAAAACCACGTTTCGGTGAAAAAGATCAGCGCCACTAGACAAATTCGCCCTTCAACCAAGGAGTATTGCACCAAGACTCCTTGCTTCAACTAGCGTGCAACCTAAAGTGCCCTGCACGCGCAACCGGATCTCAGTTAAGACCAACGAAATTCTTCTTACGAAAAAGAATTCTGTATAGAACACCATTAAATTGTACGGGGAGAGAAGAGAGAGACACTGACCTGATCTGCTAATTCTTTTCCACCAGCAATCTCTGCTCCATTGCTCAGGGCCAGCTCTACTTCTTCAGGCTGTAAATATTTCCATTGCGATAAAAGGATTTGTTTTGGATGAGAAAATAATTGTACAACTGCACAAACAGTACAACAAATAAGAAATGTGATGTTTACTTGAAATTGATTGATTGCTGCTTTATGTTTTTATTCATAGCATATGACAAAAAGTTTTTTAACGAAGCAGCACCCATTATTAGGATAATCATTTAAAATGAAACATCTTCAGTCTTCCCTTCAGGCAACTGGTGACACCTTCATTTCATCAAACATAACAGCAGTTTCATGTTACTGACATATTGTTTTACCTTGCAAAAAACCATTACTCGCCGCTTCTCTTTTGTTTCAAACATGTGAGGGAATTTCAAGTAATCACTTATGCTTTCAAGATAGGATACCTGAGATGAAGAATATTTTTCTTGCTTTAATTTATGTCAATTATGAAGTCATGAATTATGAGGTGTTCTCTATACACTGTTTTATAATATCAGTTGAGCTGTTGAAACATGGTTTACTTACAATGATGGTAATTAAATCAAAACTGTCTGTATGTTTTCGTTTATCAAAATAAAAATTTAAAATACAAAAACAACACAAAAGGCCATTTTCTTTACCCCACAAACTAACCTTAGTTTCTTTTTTTCCACCTTTTACCATGACTTCTTTTGTAATTTCCGTATCAAATCTCAACTCCAGGTGAACATATTTATTCATGTCATCCATCATGGAAGGATCTGCCAGTTCCCTGTGCATTTCTAAGCTTTTTTCTACACTATGTGTGCTGAACTGCACTGGATAGTGACGTGGCGACCAGACAGGATCGACAGGTATTCTTTTCTTATACATTTCATTAGGGTAAGGGCATTCCAAAGCACCAAATTTTAAGGTAGATTCTGACCTGAAATGAAAATTATTATCTTATTTGAAACTTAGCATACCAGTAGCAGAGTGTGAGTGTGTGCATGCTTTAATGGAATTTACTTACAATTAAATTTTATTCATAAATAATATTTCTATTTTTTAATTTTTCACAAAAAAGAAGAGTTGGAATCAAATACCAGTGTGTGTTATTATTAAATTAGTAAGAACAATGACCTATTTAGTACATGATGTAACTTAATAAGCCTACTTCTCTTTTTTCTTTTCTGCCTTCAGTTTTTTCCTCTTTTCCTCTTGCCGTATCATCCATCTACTTTTCTCCCCGCCTTTGTCTTTCCCTTTGTCTTGTTTAGTCTTAAACCGCACTGGGATTATTTGAGCATTGCTGCTGAGAACATGCCCTCTGTTTATAAATTGCCTGGACAAGATGAGGTACTTCCCTGAATATGTAAAAAAAAGCTAATAACACCATAGTTGCACCTATATCACAACAGTGAAGATGTCAGTTAAATGTGACGATATGCTCGGAGCAAACAAGAAATTTACACTCACCAATCCTTGAAGCCATGGGGGCAGACATGTTGTTTCAGGTGAAAAGATCGGCATTCTTCGGCTGACCTCGTATCCTTATTAAAACATCTGATGTGTGAATATCTTATTTAAAAAATGCTACATTCTCAATGTTCAAATAAAATATATTGAACATGATGAACAATCAAATAATAAGAGTTTCCTTTTTTATTTCTCATGGGCAATTTCATCAAATTAACCAATGGAAAAGCTTTGTTATAAATAGCACAGGATAACCCCGAAGTTGGCAGCCATATTTGTTTCTCTCTAATGCATTAGTAAAATTCCCCTCAGTATTATACAATAATATCTGGCTTCTGGTTGTCCAAAACTATACAGTTTTATAGATGAAGGTAAGCTTTATGATTACTTTTTCAACTGTTACACATGTTGTCAGGATTTAAGGATACAATTTTGTTGCATTAGCACTACGTATGGGACGAAATCTTTGTTCAGATGCAAGTTGCCAATGAAGCTCAAGATGTTGCTCTACAAATGTTGAGTGCATTTATGGTGTGTGTGCATAAGACCGTCGTTAACTTTTCATTTGTAATGTGAAATACCCAGGTTGCTCATTACTGTGTTAGATTTGACATAACACCTTTATCTTGTGCGGTTCTACAGTTGGTAGGTCAAGGTTACACTTGTTTATATTATTTATTTTATGAATTATAATATAAATCATGATTAGTTCTGTGTTCTTTGCAGAGCACAAAAGGGAAATATATGAAGATTTGAAAATCGTTTCCCGTGGATATAACTGTATGTGTATTATACCTATTTAAGGTGTCTGCAACAACTTTTAAATAGTGTGTGGTTACTTATGATCCAGGATAAGTAATATGATCCAGGCCTTGACACTGGGTTCTGTCCAAGACAGGTTAAAATTCATTTCAGAAAGGTGAAGTTGCAGGGTGGGCTGTCCAATGGACGGGTCATGTTAATTGTTTTATGAGTATTTGGGAACAAAAAATCTTGAAAAATTCTTTTCACGCTAACGTCTCCTTGAGCTGCCTTTTGTTTATATATGAATAGGGTAAACCACTAACAGGTGTAAAAATAGACACTGCTTTCACTTTAAAGCACATGTTCATAATATCATCGATCAAGAGATGTCATGTTGCAAGCTGATTTGATCATATTTATAGCTTGCAAGGTCTCTGCATGGTTCCAGTGCACTTTTCAGAAAGTTTCAAGTTGCATTTAGAGCTGTTTTTTTAAGGTCTGTTTCATATGGATATATGATTGAAACTATGTTAAATCAAATTTCTTTAGAAGATTAAATCATCAGAAGTTTATAGATATGCAAAATGAACTGTTCATCTCAGAATAAATCAACTACAAGGCACTTTTTCTGAGCCCGTTTCGGTTGAACATATTGGTTATTAATTCATTCTTGATTACACATATTAATTTACAAAGTTCACGGAGAGGTATGAATGGAAAAATTATTGGTTAATTTGGACAGGTAAGATTTGAGTTCAGGTCAAATTTATGATGGAAGTGTTTCGTTTAGCCATCTGCTTTATTTATATTTTATTTCACAATTCATTTTGTATCATTGGCTAACTTTATTGTTTTAGGCCTCACCAACATGCCAAAAGAAAAATATGAGTCGCCAAACCCTCGTAGGACACACACAATCATGTCAATGGAAGACGTTGTAGCAGGAAAAAAGTCCCAGTGGTATGAGCTAGAAATTACAGGTAAATGAATAGATTTGTGACAGCCATGCTGTAAGCAAGGCTAAAACGCTCAAAGCATGATTCACATACTCCTCTCAAGGCACTGAATCAAATAACTGATTGCAGCAGTTTCTTCCATTGTAAAAAAACTGATTGCAACTGCTACACAAATGCTTTATTATATGTATATTCTCTACTTTTTAAATTTGCTTTTATTACCTTCCGCTAGGAGGTTTTGTTTTCATTCCAGTTATTTTGTTTGTTTGTCTTTTGGCAAAAAAAAAAGTTCTGGAAGCATTTTTTGATAAAATTTTCAGAATTGGTCAAAATGAGCTAAGGAACAAATGATTAGATTTGATGGTAAAAAACAGTTTCCATTGAAATGGGCTCTGCATTGAAGCTGCACAAGTTCTTTGTCAGAGCTCTACAAATTGTGTACTATTTACAACTTGACAAAAATGGTACACTTCACACATGTTATTGCATGCTGTGACCTGACCTCTTGCGTCAGAACGTCAATTTGGACCAATCAAATTTTACAGTCACATTTGGACCGTAAGAAGTATCACTTGTCACATTGAATTGAAAAGGTATAATAACTACCATAGAAAAAGGATATGTTAATGCTGTTTTGTAGTTTTTACAGATAAATTTCTTTCTCAAAAGTGTTTCTAGGCATATTTGGTGTTAGTTATCTATACTTTTTATAAGTTTCCCCAAGAAACACTGTGCAAGCCCTGCGACCATGTATATCCTAATAAAGATATTTTTCGTATATTGCTCAGATGACTGTATTATATTTATACACTTAAATCGACTCTATGATTTGATTAATGATTTATTAATTATAATGAGAATTCAGTTTCCTTGGCGGAGGTCTGCACACTCTGAGTGTTTTTCTACTCATTTTAAGTTACTCTTTGTAATTTTCTTTTGTGAAAAATAGAAAATGTATGTTGATACAAAAAATTTGAGAAAAAAATTATTCAAACATAATAATTATAAAAACAACAACAAATTCTAGGGACCATTCGTAATCTCAGCCCACAGTTATGGCAGCTAGAGCACCTGACATCTCTGTACCTGAATGACAACAACCTGACACGACTCCCAGCAGACATCTGCAGGCTACAGAACTTAGTCTACCTGGACCTGTCAGCCAACAAGCTACGGAGTCTACCTGCTGAGTTGGGGGACATGATAACACTCAGGGAACTGCTGTTGAATAACAATTATCTAAGATCACTCCCCTACGAGTTAGGGAAACTATTCCAGTTGCAAACCCTAGGTGAGTTGTCGAAAAAAAAAAAAAAAAAAAACAATAAAAATTATCTACAATCTCTCCCTTGTTAGTGAAGGAAGCTTTTCCAATTTCAGACCTTGATGAAGTGTTTAAAATAACTTAATTGTTACTAAAAAAACAATATAGACAACTGCAAGCAGTCACCACCAATAGCGGGAAGTACTCCAGCAGCAATGAGAATTTTTTTGATAAGATTATAAATGAGTAACACGTGAGCCCACATGCCTGTATTGGCACCTCACTTCGTTATGTTGAACAACTTAGTACACTTTAGATTTAAAACAGATACAGGTATTAAGTACGTGTGTGTGTTATTAAAGTACTAGCAGTTCACAAAATGGTTTCACAAAAGAATTTGAGCACAGAATTCAATCTTAGCTTCCATATAAGAATTCTAGGCTATTTGACCCAAGAAAGATCAGTATAAGGTCAAAAAGAATTTGATATTTCAGATTCATATACTGTTTAAGTAGGCTACTATTCTTAACTGAAAAAAACCTAATTTTTTTTAATGTGTTAATTGATTTAGATTACATCCTAAGATAACCTGACACCCTTGTAGTATTAAATTTAAAACTTTGAGATAAGAAGAGATAAGACAAGTATGTTGATAAAAATGCCCCAGCTGATGTTTGTAAATGATTAATGAGTATACCAGTTGATTTAGGTTTTTAAGTATATGGTTACCAAAGGAAACCATAGATCACTTCACACACCTTTATTTGCATTTACTTAGGAAAAACGGTGCATTGTGTTATTTTCATCTTGTGTTTTCTATGAAAAAATATTCTATGATAAAATATTAAAGGATTTACTGTTTATTATTATAATATATTAAATCAATTTTTTTATCAGATGTTGTCTCTTTTTCTATAAAGTCTCATGGACATTACACCTTATATTTTAATTGTTGAGGCACTGTCACACTGACATCTGTCATAATGTTCCAGTTGAGACCAGTTGGAAAGTTAGTTATGATTGTGTTTTATAACAGCCATGCCTTGGTCTCACCTATCACATTTAGAAAATTTTCACTGGTTATGGAAATTTTGTACTGGACCCCAGCAGTGTTCACCATAACTGCAGGCATGATGACGTAAATCTGACAATTGTTGCGATCTTACACACCTTCACTGGCATATGTTGCATTTATTAAAGATTGTTAACTTTTTATTTTCTGAATTAGAAAATTTTCTCCTTCTTTCTGGTATCAGCATATTCAGTTTAAAATGTCTTCCTAAATTGACTTTTTGTACCCACTATTCAGCCTGAAAAAAATGTATACAATTTTCTTTTTAGGTCTAAAAGGGAACCCCCTCAGTCCAGATATTCTTAATCTGTATAATGAGGCCAATGGAACACATAAGTTACTCGCATATATGCTGGATAATTTACATTGTGAGTACAGGTCGGACACCTTGCATTGTGAGTACACAGTGGTTTGGTTTTCAGATGGATCTTGTTACAACCAGGCTTTCAAGATTTGGGTGATTTAATCTCACCCCACCCCCTAAAATACATTATGCAAAAATGGTATTTTCTATGTTTAGACCTACATGAGATGTAAATTTGCACTGCTTTTTGTGATGAGATCCATTTGTCAACTTCATTAGTTAAAAATCAAAATGAAATGTTTTGGTTTTTAGAGAGTGTGAAAGAAAAATGCTTCTTAAGAGTATGAGTGGCATTAGCATAGGTTAAAATATAAGTAAACATGCAAATGTATGAAGTAGCAAGGACTTATTTAAAGACTTATGCAAGGATTTGAGTACTGATTTTCCAGCAATTTCCTGAGGGTTAGAACCTGAACATAAAAAACATATTGTTTTACTTGTTGTTTTACTTGCGTGGTGCATGGTATTCTAATTTGCTGGGAGATGGATTGTGAACTTAGCAGTGAATTAACCTACTCACCCTACATTTTGTTTTAGCAGACCAAACAGCAATTGCAAACTTGACATATGATAGTCCTCTCTCTTTTTCATGTGTCAAAACCTAGTGCATTGTATGAAGGACAGTGATATATATGTATATATATAAATGAGATTATTGTATGTTTTTTGTTTTTTTTTTATATAAATGAAACTTCTGTTTGCGGCCAGGAAAGGTTGAATGCCCCTTTTATAATGCTCCCAAGTCTACAGCTGACATGGCTGATTGATGACCTTGCTATGTTGGTATGAGTGGACAGCAGCTTCATTAATCATATGTGAAGACATCTCAGTTTGTTACTCATAAAAAATGCTGTCCTTTATTGACTATAACCACTGTTGAAAACAAATTTGTGACATGTTCAAATCCTTAGCATTGATGCTTTGACCTTTGTAAAGAGTAACCCCGTACAAATCTAGAAAATAAATAAATAAATAAATTGACATAAATGTACAGTA